AAACACTATATTTGGATCCATCCAGAGCACAAACTAATGTAGAAAAAAGGACGAGGTCAGGGTCTGCATGTTTCGGACTTTCTGACACTAATTGGATGACTTGGTGAAGGAAATGCTTGTGTCATCATGGAGTGTGGAGGGGATGAATGGTGGAATGGTGACAAAATACTCAACAAGATTGTGGAAAAAGCAATTCCTGCCTTTGAAGCACAATTTCCTGGCTGTAAGGCTCTATTTGCATTTGATAATGCACGCTTGTATTTAAAGTATGCCAATGATGCACTACGGGTTTCAGAAATGAACTTGGAGCCAGGTGGGAAAAATGCCAAAGTTATGCATAACACTTATGTTGTTGATCCTAGTCATCCAAACGGTGGATTTCTGCAGTCAATGGTTCTACCAAATGGAATTCCAAAGGGTCTTAAGCTTGTGTAACGATACCTCTCTTGATAGTTAGTTCTTGGCGATGGGGAACGATACTTCTCTTTCTGTCTTCTGCTTTCTTTGTCTTATAATAGCTATAGGCCTCTGCCTACGTTACCAATAGTACAAGACCTTTGTCTTCTATCGGGAATGCCTATCATAAGCTTTCTCTAACGCGTCTTCGTGAAGAACCTTTCTTGGCGTAACAATAATGTTGCAATAAAGATAAAAATCGTAAAGATGTTTTATATTTTAAAGTAATAAGTAGGAAAAGTACTTAGAACAAAGCGTGAAGAACCTATCTTCCTTGACCGCATCGACCTCCTTATATAGTATTCTTCCCACCCTTAGTCATGTGACCTAAAGTGGTCACATGTGCGAAACCAAATCATAACAAACTAGTCATGTGACCAAAGTGATCACATGCTTAAAACCCATGACCTCATAGCAAGGTCATGTACAAAACTCATAAACCAATCATAACACAATAAACAAGTCATATGACTCAACTGAGTCATATGTGCGAAACCCATGACCTCACAATGAGGTCATGTGCGAAACATAAATCATATGCGCAAGGCTTACCCGCAAGGCACCCTCGCAAGGCATACTTGTCAGGCGCACATCCCATGACTCATACTTGAGCCATGTGCAAAAGCATCACAAATCACACACATAACAAATCATATAACCCGAATAGGTCATATGCGCAAAACAATAACATACCTGTGACTCATAACCATTTGTCACGTGAAAACCTTTTTCATGCTAAGCCACAAAATCAACTACGCTTTCGAACACAATGCTCAATTCTATCCAGTACGGGAAAGTCCAGAATCCTCAATTCTCGCTGTTTGCAAGGTGGAAGCTGTTGTGCTCGTGTCTTCCTAGCAGCACAACCAGACTTTCAAAGTCAGAAAAGTCAAGTGGAGCAGCTCATTCTAGACGCAGGACATGAGGTCATATTTTATCCAGCATTTCATTGTGAACTCAATTTTATTGAGTATTTCTGGGGGGAAGCCAAGTGGTATACCCGTGAGAATTGTGGGTATGATTTCAAATCCTTAAAACGCCTTGTACCAGAAGCTTTAGCAGGTGTTTCAGGACAATTAATTTGGAAATACTGGGCACGTACAGAGAGGATCATGGAGGTATATATGTAACGTGTTCGCAAGGTGCTAATCACGTTATCAGTAAGGGATACGATAGTTGGCAGGTGGCCTGCTCTTCCAGAGAGGAGGCGAGAGCTGAGAACTAAAGGAGGCTTCGAGGGTGTACTGGGGGACAAAGAAGTAACCGTTCAAGCAAGTATATTGAAATACTGTCTGTCGAAGTCTGCCTTTTCTATCGTAGAAACAGGCGGTCTTTAAATACACAAATCTGTTCATGTCTAGCATGAACGAAACTAATCAAAGGTATCAATTGATACTCTTTGGTAAAACTCCTTAAGTATCAAAGCGGTACTTAAAACAAAACATAAAACAAAACCAAGTATCAAACAATACTTAAAACAAACCAAGTATCAAAGCGATACTTAAAACAAAACATAAAACAAAACCAAGTATCAAACGATACTTAAAACAAACCAAGTATCAAAGCGATACTTAAAACAAAACATAAAACAAAACCAAGTATCAAACGATACTTAAAACAAACCAAGTATCAAAGCGATACTTAAAACAAAACATAAAACAAAACCAAGTATCAAACGATACTTAAAACAAACCAAGTATCCGTACCGGTTACAATATAGATCAAATACTATTTATGGATCTAAGGAGTATGAAGCACTTGTACATAGAAAGTATGCCTCACATCGTTGTGTTAGTCGCAACCTGTAGTCAAACTGTAATTGGAAAGGTTCTTCAAGTTACTCAAAAACAATATCTTCAGTACTGTAATTACATAAACTTACGATATTGTATATTCTCTATGTGCTTTTCTCTTTAAAAACAATGATTAATTGAACTGAAAACATTAATACATTCTATATTATTATATTGTTAATACTTATCACAATCTGAGTCAGAATTTATGATTAGGTTCCCCTTACCCTGATTACATTAGGCGTCACATTTTGAACCATCGTTGGTACACATTTTAGTCGCCTCACACCATACGGTCGGGCCTGTGGATGGCCATGCTATCGATTTCGACCAGTGGACACGGTCTCAATATGGTAGGCATTGGATGGGCCTTCATCATGAATTTAACCCCGGTGGCGTCCACCGCATCCTACTAAGAGCAGTGACACCCTTACCACCTTACACAAGGGTTCAGAGTCTGGGGTGAGGATTGGGTTATTGCTTTTCTTCTTCGGGAGACTGCACCGGAACTTAGGACAGCAATATACTAGGTATAGAGTGACGGAGTGTTAAATTTGTAAATGGGGTATGATCTTAATAGCAATGTAGATTATACAAGGACAATATTAAGGAAATACTGTGAGCATGTTTAGGCGAGGAGGTAATATGTATGAAGGCAGAGATTGTAGTCTTCTAGGTGCTGAGCCGTTTCTACGGAAATGACGTCACCAATTGTCTTTCTTCTCTCCCCAGGAATAACTTTTCCTACCTAATTAATTCCCCGCCAACTTCCAGACCTCTGTATAGAAACGAAGTTGCTTTATCACTTTAACTTTCTCCACAATTTCCTTACTGGCTTCGGAATTATTCGCTTTGCATAAATCCATCCAGGCATATTATCGACGCGGCACTCTTGGATGTCTCGGGGTCGTGTTTAAACAGTGGACCCAGGCGTCCAGTCCATCTGTTTTTGGGCGCAGACGAGACGGACGGCAGTGCATGGAGGATGCCCTGATGGGCGGGCACATTGGCATCCGTCCAGACCAATGCCTAGGGTGGACGGGCGGGCCCTGCTGCTATCTCAAGATATGGAATGTTCCGGGTTCCTACCGATGACTTCAGGCGATGGCGAGGCCCTATAGTTGATAGAAGGCCCTACAGGTGATGGCAGGACTCTGCAGGTGATGGAGAAACCTATGATATTTTTTCCATTATATTAAAAGCCTGTAGGGTCCGGACGTCAACCCCTAGGACGGCCGTCTTCATGAAAGATGAATGTCATGCCTGGATACCAAATGTATTGGTAGTGACACCTCCCGGATTTGTCATGAGAGTTGCCGCCTCTCAAGCCATGGGTTAGATACGGTTATAATTGAGGGGAAGGCCACCGACCTTGATACTCTACCAACTCCCACACAACCTCTTATCCGACCCTCCCCCCCCCGCATACCAGTACGATCACCTACCCCTTTCACATCAACCTACACCGCCCTGCCTCTTAAGGGTGATCGGGCCAAGGAGAGTTACACTCAAGCACCATGACGCACCCTAAGAGCAAGAAGTTACAGCGGTAGTAGAACAAGAAAGGGTGGGAAAGGGGATCAAATCAGCAGATCGCACGGCTAAAAGCGCAACTCCAGGTCCAAGAAGGGGAATATGCGAAATTAAAAGCAGAGAAGGGGCAATTAGAACAAAGTTTTAATAAAAGGCCGGATGATGATGCGAGGAGGAAGGAGAGAATACAACCCCTAGATAAAGATGCCAACGATCAGACTGCCGGGGAGAAGACAGTATCCCGGCAACTTGAAACAATTATGAAGGGCCCAGCGGTCCCGATTGTCACAGCCGTGGTTATGAAAGCGATGTATAAAGAGGCGGCCGGGATCGCTAGACGGGATCGGAATCCCAGTAGGCACGATGCCTGCGTTGAAAAAAATTCGGAAGCTCCAGAGCGAGTTCCTGGGATTAAGGTATAAGAAGAAACAACAGGTGGTCGAGTTTGCTGATATGGTAAGTTCTAGTTTCCTTCCATATGTTGAACATAACCAAGCAACATTCTGCGCTCGCCCCCCCCACCCTTAATCCCCCTCAGCGCTTCCGGCGATCTCCACTTCACCAAGATGTTGGCACAAATCCTTTCTACTCGTCCAAGGCAAGGAGTATCCGAAAGCAGGGATTGGAAAGATCTACTCGGGTATTGACTTCAGTCTTGAGAAGGACAGGGTCTATGATGTCAAAACTCTTGCTGTTCCTGGATCACTCCCTTAAATTATCCCCCCCCCGATGGTATAGCTTCAAAACCACTGTCCGTCTCATTGTTAACACTGATACCCGAGTAGGGAGAAAAGTCTGTCCGTATACCAGTACAGGCGTTCGGACAAACTGACGGCTGGGATTTTCAGATACTTCTTGACTCGAACAAGTAAAGCTCATTGAGCTTCCTTGGTAGAGAGTGGGGGTGTGGTGGCTGCAGGGAGGAGGGGTTAGGGGGGGGTGTGACTTACAGTAGAATCTCTTGAAATCCATTATCTCTTGCATGTCACCAATATCCCTGTAAATCACAACATTCACCCAAAATAGGTTTAGTTTGGCAAGTTAATGAGTTTTGACACAGGCAAATGACTCTCACTATACCTTGCTAGGAAGGCTCTGATCCTTCTCCCGGATAGGTTACTGAGCTAATGGGCGTAGTGGATTCCAAGAGATTTTATGGTACGAGTACCAGGACTGGTAGTGTAGTTAGTTGCTAACCTTGTGTAGCAGCCGGAGGTGATGGCGGAACGAAACACTACCGCCCATAAGGTAACGGGCGGCGACGTGGTGGCGATCCTCCTATATATTGCTGGAAGAAACTGCGCCCAGTTCTCGAGCGGGGATTCAGGTCTCTCTAGAGAATATCTCCGAACAACTGGCCAAATGCAACTCTCGAACAGAGGTTGCTTGAATTTCGCAATTGTAAGTTTTCTCTCTTCCCCTCTTACCGGTATATTAATAGTTGTTTATCTAGTTGCTAATTGGGATGGGATAGGTACCGATTGCGAACTTGATGATCTAGGCTAGTAGCCTGTCACCCGTTACGGTCCCCGATCTCCGACCTAGTTGGTGGCTCTCATACCTCTCTCTCCTTTCCCTTACGATCGCTGTTTGAGTAGCCAATACCACTCCTCCCCAGCTGCTAATACCATATGAGGTGGCTATTGAAGGTTCTAGATCGATGTTAGTTGATTGAGATAGATTGTGGAGGTTTCGGGAGTCTGGAAGTGAGTTTAGAGGTTCAATAGTTTGGTGTGGAGGTTCAGAGATTGACAGGAGATTCTCCGGACATGTATTTCCTTTGTTATCACGGGAGTGTATGGAGGAAAGGGTAGCATGCTTGGAGAGATACGGATAGGTGTGGTTATTCATGGAATGGTGAGGATACATTGTTTATGTTTTACTTATACACCTGTCTTTACCGTTAGTTTAGAGAAGTAACAAACGAAGTTGTTTTTCCTTACCTTATGCTCTTGTGCACGTTCTACCACAGCTCCCACATAGTCCTTTAGTTTCTCTCTATCGCTGCGCGAGTCAATCATTGACTGATATACCCATTTACAAGAGTTGCCTGATACTGTTGCACGGGTTGTGGCTGGGATGGTGTGTACAGTACTCGTACAAGCATTTTATTATTTTTATCTCTTTTTTTTTGCTTTTCTTCCCCGATTCTTTGTATTTTTGTATTTTTGTTTCTTTTTGCCTTAAGTGTCTTTTGTTATTACACAGTTCTTGTACAAAAGTCATCGTTGGTGGGCCCAAGTATGATATCATACCTGATAAAACAAACCAAAATGGTCAGAATTCGGAGCCACGGAATTCGCGATTTGCACCACCGCCTCTTAATCAATTAAAACAAAAAAATATATCAATAGATAACTGAAGACATAGTGGTTCTGAAATTAATATTTCTATAACAAACCTGTTGGTTCCACAGGCAGCTCTTGCCTATTGGTGAGAATGATTTCAAAGCTGAACTTAAGTGCAAAGAATTTGTATGGGCTCTTATATAAAAAGATACCTGTTTTGACAATCGCCAACTTCACATCACTATAGCTCAGGCAATATTGCACCACCATACACTTCAAAATTTAAATACTAGGCTTAAAATACCCAAAATCACTGTTTTGCGAATAATTTACTCACTTCAACAATGGATGGTTGAGTTCTGATGCTGTGAAAAACTGCATTTCTGGTGTAAAAGTGGCCATTAGCAATGACTTTTGTCACCGTATTTTCAGTATCTGGGTATTTCCTGTAAATGAGTTTTTATTTGTATTATTAAATTAGTTAAGACGGTGGAATTGTTTCTGCCACTATCTTGCATTAATAGAGTTATTCAGATGAACTAGCCCATCAAACCAAAGAACCATAAGAGAAACTGCTAACAAATGAGCAGCGACTTGAAGATAGGAAAGATGTAGAAGAAACATCCTTCAGCACTAGTTCTCGGGCGGGAAGAACCTTATGGACCGTACTCATGTATGATATCATACTTGGTTGCACAGAGGACTTGGGGAAGGGACAACCCTATCTTTATCTTCCCAAGAAGAGGATAACAACCTTCAACAATATGCAGATACCCCTCTAGAACCGCCGCATAATTCATGACTTTACACCGCAAAGAAACATCGTCTCAGACAATTCGGTAACCCAAGCGAGGTCCATGTTAATTGCTGGCCATCCTGCCCTTTTCACCTGTATCATCTGGCAACACCACTTGCCTTTTCTTCCGTTCAGCAATGGCGCAAGATGCGATACCACAAAGGAGTCTCTATTTCAGGTATGATACCGTACCATCACCAGCAACAGTTGCCACCGCTGATTCCCTTCCGGAAGAGCAGCCAGGAAAAGGAGCACGGACGGCTTCAAGTATGCTTGTACAGTACCGGTCTACTTTTGTATGCGTCGACGTGTATGTTGGGTGCCCTTTTATTTGTTTTTGCTCCGCCAATCTAAACAAGTGCCGCCAAACCATTCTCCTACTTATCCTAGACCTCAGAATGTGAACGAACGAACGAAGTTATGATAGCGACATGCGGCAATACGGTAAAGGGTATTTAATGGTTAGTTCCATAGGAGCAGCCAATAAAAAGCAATCTTTAAACAACGTGGGTTGACAGCCCGTTTCACCTACCATTAGGCAAGGACAAGATAGTTTTACAATCTCTAGTATCCTTAGTTCTCTGCCATCTCTGGAAGAACACACATTCGTCCTCTCCACACTTTGGGCATGGTTTCATGGACCTTGGCAACCATCCACTTATTACTTCCTCTAGCCACTCTCCATCGCAGAACCCCAAATGATTGGGCAATGTTGTATGTTGTTGGAGTTGTCTCCTGTGCGAATGCCTGTGTTTTATTGTATTTTCAGATCTCTTAGAAGGGGACGGGGGTGACCTTTCTTTTTCCCGGTTTTCGACTACATATAGCATATTGCTCAATTATTTGAGGTTTTATGGCCATAGATGGAAGCCAAACTGTAGCATTAGATCAAATATCCATAGCTACACCAGCAGCTTCACCCATAGACCCTCCAGGGGTCTTTCTAAATAATATTATACTTTTAGCGAGTTTTTAAAGTCTCCGGAATAGGATTCAAATAAGTGATTCGGTTACGTGATAACTTTTAGCATAACAAGGGCCAGATTTTTCATAGGTTATCATAACCTAGGCTTGAGGTCTGTAACTCACATTCCGAAGACGACTTTAAAAATCGGCTATATAGTACAGCTGTTTTCCTCTAGATGGGTGGTTGGGCATGTGCGGCAACGGTGCGATACAGTATAGGGCAATATTACCAGCAGGCCTCATAAGGTTCCAACTTGATGGAGCCCAGGGGATCAAGTCAGGGAAGAGATTTCTGTGTCAACAAAAGGTGTGAACACCCATACCATTCAGAACTGTTACGAATTGGACGTTTTTGTTGTGCAGCGGAAGATTGTTGATTAAGTCTTACAGCTAGCTAAGCGAAACAAGAACGGTATATAGTCATGCCCAAACCTAGTCACATGACTAGTGATATGGAATACACACTTCCACGTATCACCCAGTACAACCCAGCATATGCAATAGTGAGTAGGAAGCCTAGACACTTCTCTCGCGACACATCAACTCAGAGGAGTAATTCTCAACACTCCCACCCTTCCTCTCACTATTCATGCCCATGCGTAAAGTCAGAAGAAAGAATATGGCCAGCCTCATTAAAAAAACCTATCATGCTGCTTGTGATAGGGAAAAAGAGTACTGCCTACAAAAGGTAACTGTAAAAAAAAAAAAGGTAAAATAGTAGTAAAAATAATAGACAAGAAAATAAAGGATCTATTCTAGAGGTCCACGAAGTACCAAGGCCTTAACATACTTCTGATGTATATCCCTGGTAAGTGGCTTGGTGAGAATGTCTGCAGTCATCTCCGAGGATGGGAGGTATTCCAGAGATATGAGGCCGTTCTGAAAGGAATCCTGGACATGGTGGAACTGAATAGCGATATGCTTGGACTTCTCATTGAACCTTGGCTGTTTAACGAGTTGAAGTGCACTTTTGTTGTCGCAAAGAAGCCTTTGTAGTTTGTAGTCCGTACCGATAATCTCATGGTAGAGGCGTTTGAGCCAAATAGTCTCTCTGGACGCTTCGGAGTATCCAACATATTCTGACTCTGTAGATGAAAGTGCTACTAGACTTTGTTTCTTTGACCTCCAGGAAATGGACGCTCCAGCTAGGATAAATACATGGCCGGAAGTGGACTTTGAATCCTGGGAATCACCAGTAAAGTCTGAATCGCAAAATCCATCAATATCCTGGGTGGAACCAAGGCGATAGCAGAGACCTAAGTGCATTGTACCTTTGATATAACACAGTAGTCTTTTTGTCGCAGTAAGATGAAGAGCACTAGGGTTTACACTAAACTTACTGAGTATGCCTACTGCGTAAGAGATATCTGGCCTTGTACCAATAGCGAGATACATCAATGAGCCTAGAATTGATTGATATTCCGCTTGGTTTCCCTTGTCGCATTCTGGTGTTGAAGGAACAAGTCTCTTTATCTCCAGCGGAGTAGAAACGCCATTGCAGCCAGCCATTCTAAATCGACTCAGAATAGTCCGAATAAAGCGCTGCTGATGGAGAAAGAGATGGTCCTGGCATGTAGTGATTTCCAATCCTAGGAACTGTTTGGCCGGTCCAAGATCCTTCAGCTTATATTTTCCAGAAAGCTTGGCCTTGATATCGGTAATAAGATCTAGAGACCTACATACAAGTAGAATGTCATCAACATAAAGCACTAGGAACAAGGCTCAGTCCTTGTTATAATAGAGATTTGGATTGTTGCTGGATTTCTCAAGGTCAATGGATCCAAGAAAACTATCAATATGCTAGTACCATAAGTGAGGCGCCTCCTTTAGACCATAGAGTGCCTTGTTGAGCCTAAGAATAGAGTCCTGGGAGTCTGGGACTAGAGCTGGCTTGAGCCACTCAATACTCTCTGGCATTTCCATAGAGACGGTATCCTCCAGATGTGGATTGAGAAATGCCATACAAACATCAAGGTAATGAATCTCCCACCTATTGAGTGTAGCGAGAGCCAGAACTAGTCTTACACTTGTTAGCCATGCAACGGGAGCAAAGGTCTCACCAAATATCTGCTGCTCATAGCCTTTTATGACAAGACGCGCCTTAAAGCGTATAGATCCATTAGGATTCCTTTTCTTTTTATACACCCATTTACATCCAATAGGGTGTACGCCATGCCCCACACTAGATTTCCTGATAATAGACCACGTCTCATTATCCTCTAGGGACTTGAACTCCTCCTGCATGGCGGTTTTCCATTCCAAGCAGTGCCCCAACCTCAGGGAATCACTGTAGCTAATCGGTTCCCCTTCGGTGTTGTCAACTGCCTCTAACCCCATCATCGCATGAACAGCGGAATGAGTACTGGGATGTCCCTTTGCCGCGACTCTTTGAGATCTGCGCAAATTTACAATCTTGGGGACTTGGGAGGATTCTTCAAGACTTAGACTCCCAGCAGGAGATGCTTCTTCACACCTGTCAACGGTCATCACTGGACAGAGTGTGGACTGATCGAGCTCAGTCTCAAGATCAGAATTAACACACTCATAGGTCCCTTTAAACCAAGAGTCCTCCACCTGTACGCGCAGAGGAGCAGGTGCTGTCTGCTTAACGAGACCAGCAACCTCTTCCAGAGCTGGCAGTGCCTGCATGCTCAACAGTACTTCAGGTGGGCTTGACACCTCTGAGTCCTCCTCAGAGGGTAAATCCTCTGATATACAAGAGCGTAGAATTTCAACCTCACTTTCATGCTCATCACGAGTTCTCAAGACTTGGAGCTCATCAAACACAATATCTGAAGCCTCAATCACACGGCTACTCTGTGGATCCCACAGTCTCCAAATCTTGCTAGTATCATGTACGTAGCCCAAGAAGATACACTCCTTTGATTGCTC